TCCTCTTATTCAAGCTGTCAAGCTAAAAAGATGTTGGAAAAAAACAAAACAATGCTGCTTGCAAGGTTTCATCCACAGAGGTTCAGGTAGTTTCTTGCAACAGTCCCAACTCTTCCTGATATTGTGCCCAAGTTAAAAGTGCATATGAGAGAAACAGTCCCTCTCCACTTGGTAGCAATGCGTCTTTAACCATAAGGTAGCTCCTGGGACCCGTGGGCAAGCAACTGGTGTGAAGTACTTGAAGGTGCTGTGAGATTGTAGGTAACAAGGGCAGCAAAGCTTTGCTGGTATGACAACACCCTCTCATTTGCTAAAGCTGCAAACTTAGCACAAGTTGTTCTCTCGGCTTCTTCTCCTTTGTGACACTACAGTAGTCATTTTCCTCGGATAAAGCTAAAATGTCTTGATTTTCAGCAGGATCCAACCAGCAGCCCACTGTAATCTATTTTCCTGTTTCTATGATAAATTATTTATTCACTTATTTTACTGTGTTTGTCCAATAAAAATTCTGCACCACTGTTGCTTTTCTAAAAGTCTTTTGCATTATTAGTTAACCCAACAACACAAATCCAGTAATTTCAGTATTTCACTTGGTCTTGGGCACCACAAGTATTTCATCCCCATCTTGGATACTGTAGGAGTGGAGTGCCCGGGTGTTGTACTTCATTTCCTCTGGTCCAAAGGCACTGTCCTTATCGATGTAGTACAGCCTCATGCTGTTGGTGGAGAGCTGAACCACAGCTGCCAGTTGCTTCTTCAGCTCAGCCACAGTTTGGTCCAGACGTATGCGCAGCTGAAACAAACCACAGTTTTTACATTTGCACCAGAACCTTTACCACGAGTCAGGACAGAAATGTACTGTCTTCCTGCTCTTAGAATCTGCCACGATTGTTTTAGAGGTACAAGTAAACTAAGATATAAACTAAAAACATTTTCAAAACGTGTCAGTACTTGATATTTGAAGACACTGAATATAGTAAGGAAATAACATTAGTTGGCATATTTCTTTGTTCTTAAGTGTTTTACAGTTTTGTGTTCTAGCTGGTATACTACCGTATTTCATAAAATTAACAAGTGTTGATGTTTTTTACTAACTTTAATTTCTGTCCATCCATCTGTAT